CTCTCTCTCTCTCTCTCTCTCTCTCTCTCTCTCTCTCTCTCTCTCTCTCTTTCTCTCTCGATAGCCTCTTCAGTACACCTGGCCACCGAATTAGATAGCTGGAGGCGGGAGCTAGGAGAAGCCGACCCAGAGCTGGTTTAAAGTTAATTAGAGTCTTGTCTTTTTAATTTAGAACTCTCTAGCGTTTACTCATGAATCGAACCTTCTTTATTGAAGCCAGCGCTGGTCCTGTGCACCAAGCAGAGGTGGTACATGCAATATGTGTGGCCCTGCTCCTGGCCACCTTTGCATATAGCATCACAATTTCTCAAGATTACAGAATTGTAGTGAATCACCACTAAAATTGCTGTAGACGGACTCCAAGCAATTACAGCACAAATAAGTCACATCTACTGATGAGCAAGCAGCAGTGCTGATACCTCTGAAGGGCTGTGCTTTCCCGTAAACAGAAACTTGTTTCCAATGCAGGAAGAAGGTCATGGTGCAGTCCAAGAGCAGTGATAACCAAGGGATCCTTTCACGTCCTTTCCTTCTCATGTAACTTCCATGTATTCATCTAACATTATGCAAAAAGGTAAATAAATTAAATAACATAATTTAATTTTTTTCCCTTTACTTAGACTGATGATAACTAGGAAATAAACAGTATTAAAACTCAAGAGAAAATATTAAAGGGGAAAACTTTATATCACTGGAACTGTACCGTTTTTTTTTTTCCTGAATTTTGAACATGGGGCCTTCATTTTTATTTTGTAATGAAACCTGTAAAGTTTGTAGCCAGCCCTAAAGGAATATAATGATAATGTTATTATTATTGTGTTTCTGATGAGAAGACTAAGACCCAGAGAGATTAAACACCTTATTCAATGTCAGTCAGCTAATGAATAAAGCAAGAATTTGAAACCAGCCAGTGACATGGCAAAATCTATATAAATCATTACATCAAACAGCATAGAATAATTGCACAGGACTTAATATCATAGGATGTGGTGGTAAAGCTTTTCTTTTGAATTTAGTTTTTGAAAGTCTCTTTAAGTCACAAAATTTCATCACACACCAAAAAAGGGGTTATTAATACATATCTCACAGATTTGCTAGGATGTACAAATGAATAATGTCTGTGAAATCAATTTAAAAAACAAAGAAGCACTATGAAAATATGAGTTACAAGAGTTGGGGCTACTACTACTATAACTATTACAACTGTGGTTGTAAGTAGTTAAGAATCGGATGTAATTGCAAAACATACACACACACAACTGAGGCATATTGAAAAGCATATGCACAGTGAAAAAAAGAATTATCTAAGTAATTCCATTTAGATAATTAATACATGCATTGTTTGCAAAATTAACACAGGTAAATACTAAATTTGCATTCTTTCAACCCTTTTATTCTATCTGAAATAAGGAGTTTGATGAAACCATAATTCTACCTTATAACTTAATAGACAAATCAAAATGCCTTTTAATAAGTGATCAGATTCTTTAATGAAATCAGCTCTTAATTAGGCCCCATATATTCACTCAGAGTGAAAGTAGTTGTTTAGCTCAAAAATGCCTGTGTCTCCACATTCACAGGGCAGTTAAGAATATAACACCAAAGCAAGTCTGCTCTTCGCCGGTTGGGTACATGATGCCATCTCAAAATTTTCTTTATTTTTAAATTAACCCCTTGATATGTCACCTGAAATCTGAAGATTACACTGGGATAATTACTAATTCAAAATTTTCAAACATTGAAGAAAAAACTGAAGTTTCAAAATCTGGAGGGGAAAGAAATTGTGAATGTTTATTCAGTCCAGCTCTCCACATAACTTTGTAAGACGAAAGTGAAAATATGAGGTCTTGATTTATAATTGTGTGAATTAAAACGACTTTAAAAGACTTCAATGGTAGTAGCTTGAAGGCCTCTCTTTGAAATGTTACTTGTTTTTTTCATTTTCAGAGAAAACATGAATCATGCTTTTTAATTCTCTGGTCAGGGAATGTTAATGTTCTCCTACTGAGTAGATGAAGAACATCAGTGTTCTCACTTCAGCTAATCTGGGTCCTGCATGTGAGCACAGGACGGAAATTTCTGCAAGACTATATCTACTCTGATTCCAAGGGAACCTATTTGCTTGCACCACAGGGAAAATAATAAAACGAACTTTGATCTTGGCTTTTTGGTCCTTTGAGAATCATTAAGATTGCATATTCTCCAAATCAGTCAGGTTAATTTGCACTTTCTGAGATAATAGTTAGATGTTGCCAATGTTTCTTGATTTGAAGAATAAGATGTTGAGTTAATATTAATTTTGTCTCTTGCTTTTTAAAATGCCTAACTCTAATATTTTTTATTGTCTTCATCTTTTATTTTTCTTGGTCCTCTCTAACTCTTTCCTCTAAATATAACTTTATGTATCATATTTAAGTTTGGATTGAACAGTTACAGAAAATATTTTACAATATATCTGCTATGATTTGTGTCTGGAATGTTACCAAAAGTCATGTGTTGAAAGCAGGGTCCCCAATACAGCAAGGTTCAAAGGTGGGGCTCTTATGCGATGATTGGATTATGGGGACGCCAAGCTCCTTGGTGGGCCAATCCACTTAATCTAATTCATTGATAGTTGAAAGGATCATTGAGAGATGGATAGAGATAAAGGAAGTTGGTGATGGGGAGCATGTCCTGCAAGGGTTTGTCTTCTCCCCAGCCCCTCCTTTTTCTCTCTCTGCCCCCTTCTTTCTGTCTGCCTTGAGGAATGAGATGAGTGTCTTTCCTTCTGCCATGATGTTTCTGCAATGGAACTGGATGACTATGGACTAACCCCGCTGAAGCCATGAGCCAAAATATATCCATTCTTCTCTAAGTTGTTCTTAGGTGTTTTGATGGCCTGGATGTGAGGCTGACCACACAGTACTGTAAGCATTTTCTGTACTGGGCACTTTTATGTGTTTGTACCACATGGTTCTCACATTATACCCTAAGAGAAGAACTCTCCTGCATGGTAGCATACATCTGTAACTCCAACAGCTCTAGAGGCAGAGGCAGCAGAGTCCCAATAGATGCCAGCCACGGAAAATTAGTGAGACCCTGACTCAAAATAAAAATTTAAACAAAGGATTGGGGTGTGGCTCAGTGGTAGAGCACCCCTGAGTGAACATGAGCTTTCTGTTATCACTTCCCCAGGTTTTGACCTTCTCCTGGGAATATTTGCATCTTTAATCTCTACCCCTGTCTTAGTTGTTCTCCTGCCCTGACTCTTTGTACCTGTTTGTTGTGCTTTCCTTTTTCTCTGTTACTTCCTCAGAATAATTGGTTTTCTTTTGCTTCTTAATCTCTTTGGATCTCTGTCTGAGCCAGCTTTATAACAAATATGGTAAGGTTTTCCATAATTGAATTTCAGGTGTTTTGTTACCATATTTAAAGCATATAAATGCCTTTCCTCCTTTGTTTCTACAAAAACCAAAAAGAAAAATGAACACGATATAATGTCTGACTTGCAAGACTCCATGATATTCTCCCCTCCAGCCTTTTCTGTCTTCTGTTCTGTGCACTTTCTTAAATGCTACATTAAGATTTCATTTTGCATCATCTCTGCATGTAAATATAACAGGAAAGAGAATTAGCATCTGGATTGGTGCAATTATAGACACAAAAATTTAAGGATAAAAACATGATGATTCCCATCTTGCAAAACAAAATAAAAAATAATCAATAATTTCCTTTTAAAGTTCTACTTTGGAAGAGGTTTTTCACTTAGAAAGTCTTGCAGATCTAAATATTTAAAGAGCTTTTATTTTCAAAGTCCTTTCTTCTAAAAATAAAGAATGAGTAAAAAAAAAATTTGAAACTATATCATCATGGTTACATACCATTTACTCCTCACCTCTTTCTTCTTTCCCTTTATTTTATCTTATTGTCTTAGTATATTTGTGTTTATTTATAAATAAAAGAATAATTACTGGTCACAAAAGAATATGGCTAAAATTGTATTTATTTACCAAAAATAGAATAATTACTTAAGGTATGACTGCAGGGAAGTAGAAAATTCATGAAATATGCATGTGAAATGCATCTATATATTTTTCAAGTCTTCTGTTCTCTTTTCATTTGCATCTCTATGTAAAAGATATTGTATTGCAAAAACAAATAGCCATATGAGGCACTCAGCACTGCTGCTGGGCAAGTTAAGTTGATTAAAACCGCAGGGTAGATACTTAAACAACATGCTCTACCAATGAAGTAAACTATATATTTTCATTATGTCTTTTCTAATTCACACTTTATTCAAACTTACATATTTTCATCCACTATATATAATGAATTCTATAGTTGCCAAATGCAGAGTTGAGATGTCTGTATGTGCATAATATATGGAGCAACTAAAATTGCAAGTGAAATGTGGGCAAAAGTTAACCAGAAATGTTTTCATGCCAAAAGCTTCTATACATTTTTAGTTTTCTAGTTTTTTTTTTCTTTCTTTTTTTTAAGGAGGGGGTAGAAAGCAATCACTCCCAAGTTCAAATATATAGACTCAAGCAAAATAACATTTTAAATTGTCATACTGAAAGGGTTTCACCTGGTTTTAGCAACTTCTGAAAATTGATTTAGAGGAAATAACTTAGTCACTTCCTCTAAGTAATGAGCAGTTGTTCAAAATGTAGCCTTGGAATCTGAGCTGGGACCCAAAATATCACAGATGAAATACGGACAGAAATTTAATGTTTTATGTATGTAACACTCCAAACTACTACTAGTTAACATTATTTTTGTTTGTTTTCATGATTAGAGTTACATCTCCATACATAGTTCTTTAAGACAATATTTATAAGGCTTTTAATTACATGCATATTTACCAAAACAACAGGCCCACAGGTCTTCCCCCTGATTGGCCTGTGTCTGGCACTTTCGGGTATTCTTACATCTTGCTTCTCCCCTGTGGTGCAGGACATAGGATTCCAGTGTTGGAATCTCAGCTGTGCACTTATCAGTGGTTTGATCTTGGGAAAGGTCTCTGGAAAGATCTCTCTCTCACTCTCTATTTAATATTTCATCTATAAAGTGGAGATAAAAATAGTAACTTCTTGCTAAGGTGTCTGTAAGGATTCAGGGAGTGAATATCCATGAGGATGTTGATGTAGTGCTTGGCACTGACCACAAAATAGCTCTTAGCTTCTTTCTGATTGCACCTGCTCCACACCCTGAATTGCTTCTTTCATCAAGAAAGGTGACAAAGATGAAGTGATATGTATAAAATGTTACACATATGACAACTTAAAATTATCTGCATTGGCCTTGGGCTGTTTTCCTGTTAACTATGAATAAAGAACATCACACTTGAATGATGTCGGTGTCTGTGCATAGCATCTTTAAATTTCTCTATTGCACAGATATGTAAGTGGATTAATAGAAGGAAATAATTATTTTATGCACAAAGTCACTGTGGAAAATATTTTTAGTTCTTTGAAGTGTTTTTTCCCCCTCTTGACTGATTATCAAGTAGCTGGCTGATTACTGATGATTGACGGCTGATGAAGAGGAAGTTCAGCAGGTGCTAATAGTTTGGTAACCATCAGTGGCTCTGAGGAATGAGCAACACAGCTTTGAGACAGGCAGAGCTACAGACGCTTCTCTCAGGGGTGGTGATTTGGAAGGTGCATGTGGAATTTGTCTTAGAAATTGAGAAGAGTGGGATCTGAAGATTATTGCAGATGTAATTGCTAATGATAATAATAGTTCTGCTTCTGAAGATGATGCATGAGAAGGGTCTCTATTTGAGACTTTTAATAGAGAAAAGAAACTCAAGAAAACTTCAACAGTGATAAATCCAACCTCTCTAATCAGATTCTTAAAACAGAAAACATTTAACAGCATACTTTTAAAAATCTGACTCAGAACCTAGGGCTGTAGCTTAGAGGTAGAGTACTCGCTTTGCATGTGTAAGGCCCTGGATTTGATTTCCACCACTTCTCAAAATTAGAAACAAACAAATAAATGAAGATTGAACTTGGATGGTAAGTAAATCACTAATAAAATTAAAAATAAATCAGTTATAACTATGTAATTTATTTTTCAATAAGACTGTTTCATGGTTTTATTGAATAAGTGATTATGTTAAAACATTTAAAATTTAATTTTCCATTAAATAAATTAATAATTGTATTGCTTTTATATTACTATATAGCACACATGAGAATATATTTGACACTTTTTAAATAATGATGATAACCAGTGATTTTTTTTATTTCTAACTCTATTATTTGAAAGGAAGCCTATAAAGTAAAATTGTACCACATGCATAAATGTTCTCAGAAAACGTTTTAATCTGCTCACTTGTTTTAGACACCCTGAAAGAAAAAAAAATGAGCATATCATAAATGTAGGAGATGAATGTCTCCCCAAATCCAGAGGGCCAGCCAACAGCAGAGAAACTTGGATCACTTTTGAGGCTGGGGGAGCGTGCAGGTTAGGAAAGAGCTCTCTCTGCCTCTCACCACCCCATGCTTCTGAGAATACTTTATCCTAAGGGGATATTCCCAGCTGGCTGCAAGGCCAAGGCTGAACTGATCACATACATGTGACGCACTCCACACAGCATCCACCTCCTCTGGGACCAGGACAGAGTTCTGCCCCTGTCTTGATGCTTTTAGGGAAAGGTAAACAAACAGAACCTAACAGGACAATGTAGAAACCGAGAAAGAGCAGAGGACAAAATGGCCTCCGATACACAGTCCTGCAGTAAGCTGTAAGACACAGGAGAGAGAAGAGAGAAGAAACAGAGACGACTTTCTACCCCAAGGCTCCAGCCTCCTCTAGGTCTTCCTGCTGGCCAGAAGGCACAAGGCCCACAGGCATCCGTCCACCTGCCCACCAGTGGAGATGCTTACTGGTAACTGACACAACTAGACTCTGATAAACTGGGTCACCAATTCCTCTCCCTGAACATGTTTCTGAGATTAATCTAGCTACAGTCATCCATGGTGGCCCCTCCCTAGTGGTAGAGCAGAGTGCTGCTATAGAATGCACGCCTCCCCTCACGCCATCCAAAGTCCCAAGTAGGGCCAATAATACGATCAACAAAACCCAGCTGAAAGTTTTATATTGCAGACATTATTGTCAGCAAATAAATGGCCAATTTTATTGTCACAGTGGCTTCCCTTGTGTCATGATTATC